CTCTAAATCCTCTTGGCATGGTATACGGATGGCTATGGATATCCGGAACCTGAGCAGAAGCAGTTGTTCCAATGTATTTAGTAGTTGCAGTACTGCTTTTTGTTCAGTTTCTGTTTCACCGTCAGAAATGGGATCAGACAATTACATTCGAAGATAACGCTGGAACTCATTACAGAACCGAAGCTTCCTCCACGCTTCGTTAAACGGGCAGGCGAGCACTAGTATTACTACTGGCTGTTGGGTGTCTCCGTTTGCTGAAAGTAAGTACTAAGTACTACTAAGGTAGGCTCCGAATTTGTTTCCGAGGCATCGGGAGCTTCCACGGTAGATGCCTAGTATCTCAGATTGCTGCCTCCTCCCTTCAATGGGTAGTCGTATTCTATTCCTCCCTTCGTAATAACACCGGAATCAATATCAGCCAAGCATCAGCATAAATTACCGTGGATCTGCGTTTTTACAGTGTCTCATCTAGGCGCGCGCGTATTGAAGTGAATGCTAGAATTAGGGTGGCTTCCAAAACGGGCTGCCGTCTGCATGTACTTAATTGTAGTTGGTTTCCCACTCTCACCCCGCCTGTTCCCTTTCAATTCCTTTCAGCCTTCTTCTCTCTTAATCTACACTTTCTCTCCTGTATCTTCTCCAACTCCCAGTCGATTTTCACATTTCATCTCATGGTCTGTTAAGCAACCATCTAGCAACTATGGGAACCAGGGGCCTCGTTTTTATCCGCTGCCGTGGTAGATACTTCGTCTATTACAATCAATTCGACAGTTATCCGGAGGGATTAGGCGACGCCATCTTGAATGATATACCTGAAGACCCGGAGAAATATCAAGGCAAGTCCATGTTTCTTCGCCTACATAACAGCATGCAACGTAACTAACATCCAGTTAGAATGGCTTCGATTCATGCGAAATGTCTATGCTCAGCTCGTTCACCAATTTGAGACACAAACCCTTCCAGTCAAGGTTCAAAGCACCCGAGAGGAGTACTCGAGTGTGGCTCTGAAAGAGCGCTACGCAAAGAGCTTCTGGGCCATTGATGATCGACTACAACTACCCCCACTACAGACAGTCGTCCCGGAGCTGATGCATGCGTGGAACATTGAATGGACCTACACCCTCGATTTAGACCGGGAGGTATTGACGGTTGACAACTCCCTTCATCTCTACCTAGCCAGACTTCCCCGTGCAGGGGGGTGGATCAAGTATCTTGGACTAGATGGTCGAGGCCGTCGGGCAGCTGATCGGTGCACACCTGAAGGGGTTGTCGCCAATTTTGGCTGGAAACCGGAGGTAGATGGTGCCTCGAGAGATAGGTATAGCCACTTGGACATCCAGGTCGCTCCACTGGATACATTCTACGACCAAGGAGACATCATTGATGCACGCGAGTCACTACTGGCTGCCATCTTTACGCGCATGCATCATAGATATCGACCTGTCCTGGATGCCTATCTTCCAGAGTGGGATCCAAGTTGTTTCTCGTTCAGGGAGATAGCCTTTGCCATACTGTCTATTGCTGCTGGTGAAATAACACTTGAATGTGCTAGCAGCCTGGACCAAAACCACCAGACAGAAGGCTACTATCTGGCTCGACAGGATGTTTCCCCCGAACTGACTGCGCCCGGCTATCTGCCAACCGTTCTTCCACAGTTTCTACACGAGTCTCACATCCCGGGTACCCAGTCTGGCTCAGCACCCAGTAGCAAAATCTACTGGCTTAGGAATGTCCTTGTGTACTTGGTTACTAGACTGGATCTGGTCGAGGTCGAGGAGGCATCCGTTACCGAAGTTGTGGAAGCTGGCCTCAGGCAGGGACTAAAGGATTTCCATGCCATGGTATTCTCCATCTTAGATGTCGTGCTGCTTCGTGTTCAAAAGTGTCCGGATGGAACCGTGCATGTTAGCAGGTCTCCTCTTACCGCACTGATACAGTTTGATAATAACAACTCAGGTTTTGCGAATGGCCCTCGAACAAGGGTGTCGTCTTCTTACCCTGCGCAGGAAGATACATGCACAGCCGAGGAATCCACAAATGACTTTGAGAACCTAGAGTTGGCCAGTCCGTGTGATTCAGAAAAGTCTACACGAGAAAACATCGCTAGCCCTAGCCACGAGGAAGTCTCTGGTGCAGAGGATGTGGCCGCCTTTGTTCGGGAGCCTCAATCTTCGAGTTCTGAGCCTGTGGAGTCACATCTGTCAGTACATGAAGACCCTGTCGTTGACGATGATCATGGTTTCGGCCCAGTCTATTCACCGGATGTTGATGATGGAAGCGAAGATGCTGCTAGTTCTGAGATACAAGAGGGGTCTCAGCTTGAATACCCAGCAAGCGGTTCAGATATTTCGAACGATATGGGATATGATGACGATGACGGAGAGTCTACTGGTGATGGGTCTGGGAATAAGACGCACACCGATGCTTTTCTCGCGGTGTTACGTTTCTTTGACGCAGCTACCTATCAAAACCTGAAGCATGCAAAGTCGCGCGTATTCCCCAATGAAATACTTGGAGCCATCATGAAGTTCTCCGATACGCGGACCTATCGCGCGCTTGGCGAAGTGTCATCTTACTGCCGAAGAACCGGTAACCGTGAGTTTCGCTTGAACGATGACTATGCTGTTGTGGGCTTTGACAGTGCCGAACAAAGCTTCATCTTGGAAGATCTGCACTCGGGGAAGAAGAGCAATTCCCAAGTAAGGCATTCCAATGAAGATTCGTGGTTCCCTGTCACCCTCAAGGATGATGAGATAAAGTTGAATCCTGTGATCGGAATAGCCGATCACACTCGACAAAGTATTCTGAGTTCTGTGGGCATGGTATTCTCGGAGGTGGTCCACAGACGTTCTCCTTATACAAAGCAGATAGACATGCCCGAACAGTAAGTTTTGCTGGCCAATTGGGTTATGGGTATCTAACCTCCTCCGCAGGATGTACTATGACTATTATGGCGGCAGTCAGATCCAAGAACCCGAGCTCCTATTCAATATTGAAGAACACACATATGTCGGGTCTGTCGAAGATGGCTGGGGCAGGTATCTTGCGCGAAACTACCAGCTCAACAGTGGTTTGGATACTCCGGACTATTTGATCGTTCATATTCGCGGCCCGACATTCCGTTGCCTTCTACCCCCTAGGTACCGTGAGCTCGTCATGGATATCACTCATTGCAATGGGTTGTATTGCGTTCTGCGCCATGTGCGTGACGAAAGTCCCGAGGAATGGGACCTGACGATGAAGCATACTCTGCGCCAGCTTCATCAACGAGAGGAATCGGAGAAATCGAGTTATACTGTCAGTACTAGAGGACGACCTGTTGTGGTGGCCTTTACCACGAGTGTCAGATTGTTTTATTATGTCCACCGGTGTGAAGAGCCCGCAGCCCTTGGAGCCGATGCTAGTTCTTTGTCTCGTGATATCGCTGCACGGTGTACGGATGCAGACCCCAGTCGACGTCTCATTCCCCTTCTTCCCGGAGGTAAGACCATCGACTTGAAGACAAGCGATGAGAGAAACGAGTTTGAGAGCTGGATGAAGATCTTCTGCGGTAACATAGGAAAGTCGACTGAGTGGGACCCTTTCACGGAAGAACAGCAGCCTCTCATTCCCAACAAAAACGTGCCCAGAAGTCCTGTGCAGGACACAGACGAGCCTTTCTTGTGAAGACTAGGGGTATAGGCAATTGTGGGCAACGATACATTAAGAAATAATGATAGTATATCCTACATCTTGAAGTGGCCTTGACTCTGTGTTTCCGATGTTGTGCCGGCTTGCATTCTTACCACATTCGTCTGCTTTCCTAGCTCAGAATGCTCAGGGTAGAAAGAACAGAGATAGCAAGGATGGGTAGGATGCTATTCAGAACCTCTTATCTAGTTCAAGTTTTATCACGGTGGTATTTGCTGAGACTTGTGTTCTTTCTTAGATGACCCGCTTGCTTCCTTGTTTCTTACATCGATCTGCTAGCGATAAAGACAACAGAATGATACACTACTAAGGGCATAGTTCAGTGTCATACTCATGAAAGGATCTAACTAATACAGCGTATACTTTATAATTCCACAATCTGTAAACCCCATTGATGTCTATCCCTAAAGCACTCTAACTTATACCCCATTGATGTCTATCCCTAAAGCACTCTAACTTATACCCCATGCAGCTACTCTGTACCAAGAGTGCAATGTAGACTAAACCACCAACCGGAGCATGACGTAACATAGTAGTCAGTAGGGCCCTTCTTCTCCTTCCATCCCACACTTAGTAGGCTAGTATTCAAAGCAAGTCATGAATTCACATTCTGATACCCGATCGAGCTGGCTTAGTTAAGATGCTAGCTATGTAGGTGCTTCAACCTTCTTCAAGCAGAGAATATCGCCCCGAACGCCTATAAATCCCCCTCAAACTTGCAATGATCACCAAGCAACGCACGCCACGACGTAGAAAAGCCAGTCGTTGTTGTAGCTAAACACAAACCAAAACACACTAAAAAGTAATGTGAAGTGTAGTTATCCAAGGTAGATACAGTCGAGTGTCGCAGCCGGCTAGCCCGCTGCCTTGCCTGCAGCATGTATTCGGCGAACTTAATAGGCTACTAGTAGTAGCTAAAGCCCGTCCAGTCCGACTCCAGCTATATCATGTCAATATATTGTTATAAGTATCCGTCCACTCTTATTTATATCCAAGGCAGGAGTGTATATTGCTATGGACTAGAAAGTGTGATCTTCGTGACATTTCTAAACATAGTCGTATGTAGATAAGACATAGGTAGGGGGGTAGGTAGGTATCAATCAACAAACACGAACAAAAACGAAAATGCACATCAATCCAGAATTTAGACTCCCATATCAGAAATCAATGAAAAGACAGCTCAGGCCCAAAAATGCATGTGAGAATGCAATATCATACCCAACTCCATACACAAAACCCCATAAAGGTCAAATAAATCCATCATGCACCAGACACAACATACACACTTCTCCCCGGACACAGGTGGTCAATCAGCGATACCTGGCCAACGTATCCCTCACCAACTCCAACACCTCCGTCTGGACCTCCGCCTGCGAAGCCCGCACATCCACCGTAAGGGCATCCCACTCGCCCTTGGGCTCCTCGAGATCCTGCAACTGCGACTGCACCATACTACTCTTCATATAATGGGCCTGTCGATTCATGACTCTCTGCAACAACATGGTCTCATCCAACTTGAGATAGATGAAATGGATCTGTACCGAGGGGGATCCGTACGCCGCGACACGCATCACGTCCCGGTATTTCTGCTTCAGGGCTGAACAAGCAACAACTACGCCGGAGGGTGGGTGGAAGTTGTTAGTCTCGGAGGGGGAGAGCGCTTCGATGGCGGCTTGGCGGAGGGAGATGAGCCAGTCCCATCTGTCGGCGTCGGTGAGGGGGATGCCGTTGGACATTTTTTCTTTGTTGTTGGGGGTGTGGAACTGTTGGGTGGTTGGTTGGTTAGTTATTTAGGTGTGGTTGTGGTTGTGGGTGTGGTTATGGTATGTTAGGTAGGGTTGGTTGGTTGGTTATACGTACATCATCACCCTCTAAGAAAGGAATGCTAAGTTCTTGTTGAATCCCCTTGCCTACTGTGCTTTTCCCACATCCTGCTGGCCCCGTCACTACCCAGATGTGTTGGATTTGGTCTGCCGACGGTGCTGTGGTGGTGGTGTTACTGCTGGTGCTTCCCCACATGGCGTTGACCACGGAGTTGGTCAATGGGCTTTTGCTGACGGGACCGCGTGTGGAATCTACTACTGCCGCTGCTGCGTTGGTCATGGTGGGTTGTTGGGGTCGTTCGCCGGCGGAGAGCATGGTGGTGATGTTGTTGGTGGAGCAAGTAGAAAGGGTTTTTGAGAGGTGAGGGAGTTGAGAAGTTATTGTATGACGTCCTTGCGAACCGTGGGAAAAATAGGGTTGGTTGTAATTCAATTCAGTTTTATCCACCCGGGAGGAATAGTGGTGGGAAGTATGAATATGTTGGATGAATGCGAATAGCCTATAGCGGCGCAAGTGGTCACCCGACGAGGAATGAGGAGAAGATTGCGGTAATTGAATATAGTGGTAGTAGTGGTGGTGGTGGTGGTGGTGGTAGGTGAGGTAAGTGGTATGAATAGTATGGGGTAATGGAGTCTTCGGCAGTGACTTGGGGTATATAAGTAGTATAAAGGCAAGGGGGGAAGGGAGAGTAAGAGAGAGGAATGGAAAAAGGAACCAGCAAGAGGAAGGGGAATTAGATCATAAAAAATAGTAGATAGATAGATTTCAGGGCAGTTTATAACAAATCAATAAATCAATAAATCTCCTTCAAGTATGAAATGCAAGTGGGTCACCTCGTCGGGGCACAGTCATCTCATTGGGACTGCCAATTTCTCATAATTCCTTCTCTTGATTTTCTTTGATTTTTCTCAACTCAAATATGAGACCCGGCTTTGAGTAATGAATTAATAGCAGGTTGGGGCCGGAAATTGCCAGAAGGGTTTCCACCGCATCGTCATGGGCTGGCTGGTGGTGAATACTAGTCGGGGACCGATCCAAACCACATCCGCCATCGAATCACAAAGCAGCTGAAAACTATTTGCAGGCGCAAAAGAAGTAGGGCATTCCGAGTGGGGGGGATATTGAGCAGCGAAACGGGCGAGTGGGGGAGACTCACTCCAAGCAAGTCAACTTTCAGGAGTCCGGCGGTCTGGTCATTAGCGGGAGATCCGATCGGTAGCAAAACAACTCTCCTCGTATTGTCGCATACACACCTCCATACAAGCCTGAGAGAATAATAAAAAGTACGCGCGCATTCCCTTTCCCTCCCCCCCCCTTATTGCCTCATTTACTCTTCAGCAGCAGGAACAGGGGGAATTTTGCCCGGGAAGGAACCAGTCAGCTCAGCGAGACCATCATATCCCTGTGTCACCCAATTGAAATGTTGCTGGCTGACTTTGTCCGGTCTTCCCGCCATGATGTCACTGGGTCTGCTGCAACCGGGGATTCGGAACCGTAATTTCGTACGTCTGTTTCTGGTTTCTGACGGTACCGGGACGGGTAATGGCTCGAACCCCCACGCTATTCCTAACCCGGTATTGGGTCACCGTCCCCAAAAGGGTCGTTTTCCACGGTGCGCTTTCCAGGCCATATGCTAGTCTTAACTCTTGCTAACGGACCGTCTAAAGTGGTCCCGAGTACAAGAACAGGGACTTCAATGTCTACCCCGGTCCTTGCAGATAAGATAAAACAACGGATCAAGGTTGAAATGACTTAGTCTACAGAATCATTTCCCGCGCCAAGCTCAACTTTTCATCCCCTCTCATCCGACTGGAGAACAAAGAACCTTCAACCTGCCGATGTTCGTTCCCGTGGCCTCCACGGCCATCAAGCCTGCCTAGTCTGGCCCAACTTGGCCAGACGACAGGTCAAATCAGGGTCTTCAACAACTCACGGGTGTTACTTTCGCTGGAATTTTGCTGCCTTCTGTGTTACCCTGCTAGACATGGACTGAGAAAAACCAAAAATAAGCTGCGGAAGACCGCCATTCCTCCCAGGAACCAGTCAGAACCCATGCGGACATATCTGGCACCCGCTGATTGATCCTGCATACTCACCGCTTGGGACTGTGGCGCGCAGATGGATGGCCGCGGCTCAGTCTGGGGAAACTCTGATTGCTGGCATGCGAGTCAAATAATGCAGATGTCGAATTCCCCGACGAACTTCCTTCCTTGGGAGGAATCAGGCAGTCTTGCTGCCAGCACGACGTGCAGTACAACCTAGATACTCTACTTGGTACATCCAACAACACGGAAACATGTTTCCAGCAATGCCAATTAAGGTTACGGGCCCGCGGCTCTTTGCATATTCCTACCAATAGACATGTGTTTCTGTTGACTGTGTGCCCGATGACTGCCTGTCTAAGACTGTGATCAAGCATAAAAAGCAGTCTGCATGCGCACAGAGGTGTAACAACGCTGGGCAGATGATGCGGTTACCCCTCCTGACCGACAGGAGTTAGATGGCCGTTCAATCAAAGCCCACGGGTTTAGCATGCGCTGTCGTCCGACTCATTCTCGTAGTGTCATCGTAGGATCGGTCATATGCTGCACGACCCTTGATGGCGGACAAATTTGCCTCGAACACGAATGGTAAATTTCTCCGTCTGTGCCATGTCAATCGTGTCATGGATTGTAGGGCGTACATTGTTCTTCTAATTTGAACATATCCGGCTCTCCCTTACCTAACAGGTATGGCAGTTCTGTCGCGATCAGCCACGGCATAATGAATTCTCCAGCTTTCTACTTCCTGAAAGGCCTCTAAGAGCAGAGCTTTCGCTTCTAATGAGCGACTACTATGGCTTTTATGTGGTGATGATGGTATAGTTGCGGATGACATAGTACTGCTTACCTAAGCAGTGATATGCCAGGTTGCCCACCGCCAGGCAGTCGGGATGCCGCCTAACCAGATGAAGCTGAGTGCGACATGGCCATTGTGTGATATCGCATTCCATAGGCCGATTCACCAAGTACACTACGCTCGTTCCAGCTGATTGAACTTATTATATCTTCCTTCGCCATCGAACTCCTCGCCTACGATGACCTCCCTCTTCTTCTCCACTCCCGTCGACATCGATGTGGTCCTCGAAGACAGCGATGAGCGTCAGACGGTTGATGTCAAGCTCGACAAGGGCCGTCGCGAGAGGGTCCCCCTCTACATGGACGGAGAGTCTGTCAAGGGTGCTGTGACGGTCAGACCTAAGGATGGAAAGCGTTTGGAACACACGGGCATCAAAGTGCAATTCATTGGCACGATCGGTATGGAACAATGGCTCTGATGAGGGGGCGGGCATGCCTCATCATCATCCCCACTCCACAGTTGCTCTAAGGCTTCAAGTCTCGATTCTAACATGCAATTGCTTGTCCAGAAATGTTCTACGATCGCGGTAACCATTACGAATTCCTATCGCTGGTCCAGGAGCTCGCAGCTCCCGGAGAACTGCAGCACCCCCAGACCTTCCCGTTCAACTTCAAGAATATCGAGAAGCAATACGAATCATACAACGGTATCAATGTTAAGCTACGGTACTTTGTCCGCGTGACAGTGTCCCGGCGCATGGCGGACGTGATTCGGGAGAAGGACCTCTGGGTCTACTCCTACCGCATGCCCCCCGAGACCAACAGCCCCATCAAGATGGACGTCGGTATCGAAGACTGCCTGCACATTGAGTTCGAATACTCCAAATCCAAGTACCACCTCAAGGATGTCATCGTAGGGCGCATCTACTTCCTGCTCGTGCGCTTGAAGATCAAACACATGGAGCTATCCATCATCCGTCGTGAGACGACCGGATCTCCGCCAAACCAGTATAACGAAAGTGAGACACTCGTGCGCTTCGAGGTAAGTCTGCATACAACTAGAATGGCTGCATAATGTCCAAAGCACTAACCTGCTGCACGCAGATCATGGATGGATCACCTTCCCGAGGTAAGTCGGTGGCTCGGACTCACCTGGCTCTCAGACATCGCAACACGTCACACTTGCGGTATTATCACCACCGAGCACCTCTCCTGACCTGTTTCTAGGTGAAACTATCCCCATCCGTCTGTTCCTTGGAGGATTCGACCTTACCCCGACATTCCGCGACGTGAACAAGAAGTATTCGACGCGCTACTACCTCAGCCTGGTACTTATCGACGAAGGTACGTGATACTGCATCCATCTGCGTTTCATCTGCGTTTTAGCCTTGTTTGGCGACTGCCGTTCATGAATCCCGTCTGGCGTGGGATAACCATATCGGCCATCCCACGCATGTGAGACCAGGCTTTGGGTTGCAAAGGCGTGGTGGTGGCTAGCTAGCTGGCCCACTTCCTCCATAGCCAACATCCATCCCACGGCATCCCACCACCCAAGTCAATAGCCGGTCGGCTATTGATACCCTTAATCGGGCCGAAATGCTGCAATCTGGCCAGTGGTTACAGTTGGGGTGTTTCCCTCCCCCCCGTGACTAACCCCCACGCTAAACCTCAAACTATTCTGGTCTCGCGTGGTAGCCCCACCGGCCCCAGTTCCCTCCCGTTTTTCCTTGCGTTCCGGAAGTTTCGATCGTCACATTCAAACATCCATCGTGCTAACATCCCCGGTCTATCTATACAGACGCTCGCCGTTACTTCAAGCAATCCGAAATCGTCCTCTACCGTCAAGCTCCCGAGATCGCCATCACTCCTCAAATCGCCCAGCAGCAACAGATCCAACAACAGCAGCTCCTCCAACAGCAGCAGCAACAGCAACAGCTGCCCGCCGGTTCTGCGACGGCCGGCCCCGGACGAACTGACACCCAGCCTCAGTTCACTCAGCAAATCCCCGCGGCTTAATCCAATCTGTGTCCGCGTCTCATGCTGTAGCGAAATAGATCGTCTTTTGTTCTTGGGCTGCTACTGATGCTGATGCCGTGCTGTGCTGTGCTGTGTCAGACTTCCGTTTGATGTTACCTAACCCTTACCCATTATACCCTTCTGTGTATTAACCTATGTCTGGCTGTATTTCTCCCTGTGTTATGATGAAATCTCAGCAACATGAAATTTACTTTATGATCTGTTCCGTATTTTATCTTTTCTGTTTGTAAACTTCGTGGTGACATGAGATGGGAACAACCTGGTCCTATTACCTGACTATGGTGTCAATGCTATAAGGTGAAAAATACGACCTAAGAGTACCCGAAGAATGCTCGACACGACGTAAAATCGAACACAGAACCATTAGCAACCTAGTCATACAGCAAAGTCCAAGTAGACACAAGTAAAGAAACCAAGGACAGACAACAACAGCGTCAACGC